CCCGACTTCTTGGCCGAGACGTACGGCTGCGACGCGGCGTCCGCATCCGCGATCAGGGCGCGCGCCGCAGCCAAGATCCAGTCATTCAATTCGGACACCCTGAGCGGGCACCCCTTCAGCTGGGCCACTTGGACACCCGAGAAGTGGAGCAGCCCAACGCAGTTCTTTGACGCATCCGGCAGCGCCATCGGTGACCCACACATGCGGAACATGTTTGGTCAGAGCTTTGGCATCGCACGGACTGGCGAGCACGTGCTCATCAATATTCCACAAAGATGTGGCCCAGATGAGATTCTTCTTCGCGTGGGTGCGGAGGTGCGAAGCGACCGACATGCACATTGCGCGACCGACATGTACATCAAGGCGCTCAACATCACTGGTGCGTGGGCCAATGAGCAGCAGACGAATGGCTTCAGGTACTTGGCGAGCCATCGTGATCAGCGCCAGCCATGGAGGTGGTTCGGCAAGGTTGAGCTGAAGGTGGCGTGGGGCCGCACGCGCGACGGGGAAGATTACCTTAATTTCTATGTCCGCCACTTGAGCAATGTTGGTCACGCGGTCGGGGGTATCCTCGGCATCGACGATCATTCAGAGGCATCATCCCCGGACGAGAGGTGCAAACGCTCCTTCACGCTCGCAGAATACGCGGATTGAGTCGGATGCTCGTGCTGCGCTTACGAGCTAACACTAAGAGCTCGTGTAGACTCTGTATGCCTCATACATTGGTTGTATGCCTGTGTGGAGTAGTGTCGTACGAGGGCATGAAGAGGGCCCCAAAGGGCCCCTAACCGAGCCCCAATATGACCCCCAGGATCGCCCTCGAGACGACCCCAAACTGTAATTTCGCCTGAGACATCCTCACCACATTGATATGTTCGTAACGTCGATCTTATATCAAACATAAGCGTTTCGCCAGAGACAGCCCCCAACAAATGGGAAACCGCGAACTTAACATATGTTCAGAAACTGGTGTATCGCCTGAGACATCCTCACACGAATGATCTGATGGAGAGTCGGTTTTATTACCTCTCATGTAAAAATTGCGCTTTCGCTGCAGACATCCTTAGAAAATCGGGCGGAGCACGGCATAAGAAACAAAACACGGCAGAGAATGAGTATTTCTGCCGTGCTCCTTCGTTTTTGGGGTCTATCTGCCGTTCTCTTTAGTGCTTGGGGTATACTCTGCCGTCTGGTCTTCTTCTGCCGTACTCCTTCGCTATTCGGGTCTGTTCTGCCGTGCTCCTGGTCTTTTTCTGCCGTCCTCCTCAGCTCTTGGGGTCTACTCGGCCGTGCTCCTGTTTTTTTTTGCCGTTCTCCTTCGCTCTTCGGGCTTCTTCTGCCGTGCTCCTTAGCTCTTGGGGTCTATTCTGCCGTGCTCCTGGTCTTTTTCTGCCGTGCTTCTTCGCTCTTGGGGCCTCTGCTGCCGTGCTCCTCAGCTCTTGGGGTCCATTCTGCCGTGCTCCTGTTTTTTTCTGCCGTGTTCCTTCGCTCATGGGGCCTAATCTGCCGTGCTCCTGGTCTTTTTCTGTCGTGTTCCTTCGCTCTTCGGGCCTATTCTGCCGTGTTCCTGGTCGTTTTTCTGCCGTGCCCCTGAGCTCCTGGGGCCTATTCTGTCGAAGCTTGAGCCCGAGCCTGTTGTAGAGGCGCTCTCCGAGCGGCTCCAGCGCAAGTGGGCGCTCGAGGGTGCGCCCTAGCCTTAGTAGGTTTTTCGACAAAGCGCTGGCGCCGAGAAGACACATTCAAGCGATGTTTCGATCGAGCGCCTTAGGATCTCAAGATTCTCAAGCGAAACGAGCGTGTCCTGGAGGATGCTTCCAGCGAGATCAGCAAAGGTTGAAACGAGAGATTTGTCGAGGATGCCCCAAGCGAAACAAGCAATGATTTCGAGAATGTCTCAAGCGAAACGAGAGATTTGTCGAGGATGCCTCAAGCGAAACAAGCAATGATTTCAAGGATGTCTCAAGCGAAATAAGCAATGCTTTGAAGATGTCTTAAGCCCAACAGACAAATATTTCGAGGCTGTTTCAAGCGGAACAAGCAATCCGTTGAGGATGTCTCAACCGAGACAAATCATTGTTGAGGATGTATCATACAGGACCAAAAACCAAGGAACCTCCAGATATCTTTGGCTTTTTCCTCTTGATATATCTTTATGTTGGCTCTGGCGGGCAACTTTTATTATCTCCCCGAAAACCCCGAACTTTATTATCCATGGGGGTTTAGTTTCGAGGGTTCATGGTTAGATATCTCCCCAGGGAGCTCCAAGAGGCTTCAGGAAACCTCAGGTGGAGTTCAGGAGGCCACAGGAGGCCCAGGAGGAAACTCCAGGAGGTCCCCAAGAGGCCCCAGGAGTCACCAGGAGGCCGCAGGACGCCCAGGACAGGCCCCAGGGGTCTCCAGGAGATTCCCAGGAGGCTCCCAGGAAACCCCAGGAGGCCGCCTATCAGAACGTGTCAAGTTAATACGGAGAGGCCCAAACGGCCACAAGTTTGATATCCCCCTTGGGAGCCCCAAGAGGCTTCAGGAAACCCCAGGTGGGGTTCAGGAGGCCACAGGGGGCCCAGGAGGAAACCCCAGGAGGTCCCCAGGAGGCGCCAGGAGGCCCCCGCAACTCGGAGTTCTGAGACGCCGCGCTCGAGGTGGTCTGGCCCGTTTCGCCTGAGACTTCCTCGCACCACGTTTCGCCAGAGACATCGTCGCAACTCTGGGGTCCGAGATGCCGCGCGCGAGGTGGTCCAGCCCGTTACGCTGGAGACATCCTCGCAACTCTAGGCTCCGAGATGCTGTTCGGGATGAAGGAGGTGGAGGAGGAGGAGGAGGAGGAGGAGGAGGAGGAGGAGGAGATGGAAGGGAGAAGGAGGAGGCGGATGATGTGCATGAGGGAGCAGGCAGGAGGAGGGGGAGGCCCCAGAGAGCTCCAGGAGGCCGCAGGACGCCCAGGACAGGCCCCAGGGGTCCCCAGGAGATTCCCAAGAGGTTCCCAGGAAGCCCCAGGAGGCCGCCTATCAGAACGTGTCAAGTTAATACGCATCCGGTGTCGATTCGTTGATTCTTCCTGCTCTTGTGCCCCCCCCTCCATTTGGAGAGGCCCAAACGGCCACAGGTTTGATATCCCCTCTGGGAGCCCCAAGAGGCTTCAGGAAACCCCAGGTGGGGTTCAGGAGGCCACAGGGGGCCCAGGAGGAAGCCCCAGGAGGTCCCCAGGAGGCCCCAGGATGCGCCAGGAGGCCCCCGCAACTCGGAGCTCTGAGACGCCGCGCTCGAGGTGGTCCGGCCCGTTTCGCTTGAGATTTCCTCGCAGCACGTTTGCCCGAGAAATCGTCGCAACTCTGGGGTCTGAGATGCCGCGCGCGAGGTGGTCCAGCCCGTTACGCCGGAGACATCCTCGCAACTCTTGGCTCCGAGATGCCGTTCGGGATGAAGAGGAGGTCGAGGAGGAGGAGGAGGAGGAGGAGGAGGAGGAGGAGGAGGAGGAGAAGGAGAAGGAGAAGGAGATGGAAGGGAGAAGGAGGAGGCGGATGATGTGCATGAGGGAGCAGGCAGGAGGAGCGAGGAGGAGGAGGAGGAGGAGGAGGAGGAGGAGGAGGAGGAGGGAGAAGGAAGGGAGTTGCAGGAGAGGACCTAACGGGAAGCGAGTGCGATGTGGACTTGTCAAAACGTGTGCGAAAGATTGTCCGGCCCGTTTCGTTTGAGACATCCTTCCAATACTGAGCTCCAAGATGTCGCTCGCGAGGTGGTCCGGCCCGTTTCGATTGAGCCATCCTCGCAATGCGAGGCTCGAAGATGTTGCGCGCGAGATGGTCTGGCCCATTCTGCCTGAGACGTTTCGTAGCACAGGAGCTCCAATCACAACCTCTCTCATTCCTTCTCCCGCCTCCCTCTTCCCACTTCCCGCCTGGTTCCTCTTCCCTCCTCCCTCCTCCTGCCTCCCGCCTCCCGCTGCTGCGCCTCTGCCTCCGCCTCCCCGTCTCCGCCGTCGTCGTTTCTGCCGCCTCAGCATCCGTCATGCGCGCACTGCCTTCCGCCCTCCCCAGACATCCGACGTCACGATTTTTCTTTTGAGACGTGCGCCGCGTACCTCTCGATATCATCCCCGAGGGAACCATCACGACATGCCCCCCCGCTTCCGCGCCCTCCCCCACTTCCTCTTAAAGTTGCTTCTGAGTTCACAGCATGGCGGTGGAGCCTCTCACAGTGCCGTCCCGACAGCTTACTCGTCGACCAGGTGCGACCTGGGACATCCTCGCAACTCTGGGCTCCGAGACAGGGTTCCCCAAACAGGATTTGTATATACCTTTTAGCGACGTCTCAAAACGTGCCGGAGGAGGAGGAGGAGGAGGAGGGAGCAGGCATGAGGAGGAGGAGGAGGAGGAGGAGGGATAAGGAATGGAGTTGCATGAGAGGGCTTAACGGGAGTCGAGAGGTAGAACGGCCCGTTTCGCTTGGGGCATCCTTCGAATACTGAGCTCCGAGATGCCGCACGCGAGGTGCTCCAGCCCGTTTCTCCCGAGCCAACCTCACAATGCGAAGCTCCGAGATGCCGCCATGCGCGCCCTGCCTTCCGCCCTCCGCAGACATGCGACGTCACGATTTTTGTTTCGAGACGGGCGCCCGCGGACTTCACGATCTCATCACAACCGTCTTTCCGTCAGGGTTCTTTCTTATGACACCCGCGACGTCTTTGAAGAGCCTCCAGAGTCTCGGAGGATAGGGACCGTGCACAGCTGGCTCGTGAGGCGGCCACGGGCGATGTGCCAGTCCGAGTGGGACTCGTCTGACGATCTTTCCCTCTCTCTGTCTCTGTCTCTGACTCGGTGGAGGTAGGGGGGAAGTCGAGATCGAAAGGAGAGCGACGCGTTATCCGTTGCAATCCGGGCCGAAATCTCCACCACGATCTCCGCCGCGATCCGGGTGCAAATCTCGTCCACCATCCCCGCTGCGATTTGGGCCACAATCTTCGATGCGATCGAAGCTACGTCGATCTCTTCTGAAATCCCGAATCAGATGATCACGACGATCTCCGCTGCGATCCAGGCCCAAATATCCATTGCACTTTCCGCAGCGGTCCAAGCCTCCCCGATCATTCCGATCTCCACTGCGATGCAGGTCCAAATTTCAACCGCGGTCTTCACGGCGATCCCACGGCGATCCCCGCCGAGATCCATGCGAAAATATCCACGGCGATCTCCATTGCGATCCAGGCCAAAATCTCCTCCCTGATCCAGGCCAAAATCTCTTCTCACGAAGTCTCCACATCGATCTGCACAGGGATCATAGGTCAAAGCGTCCACGGCGATGTCAGTAACTATCCACGCCAATATCTCCACGACGATGGCCGTGGCGATCCATGCAAACATCTCCACGACGATCACTGCGGCGACCCAGGGCAAAATCTCCACGGCGACCGCCGCTCTGGTTTTTATCCAAATCTCCACGGCGAGCTCAGCTGCGATCCAGCCCCAAATCTCCACGGGCCCCCCGATGCGATCAAAACCAAAATCTCGACGGCGATTTGTGCCGCAGTCCAGGCCCAAATCTCCAGGGTGACCTTCGTCGGTCAACACCGAAATCTCCACAGCGATCCCCGCCGCGATCCAAGTACAAAACAACACCATGGCGACTACACCCGCGATCCAAGCCAAATTCTCCACGGCGCTCTCCGCCCTGGTCCATACCTAAATCTCGTCGATCTTCGCCGCGATCCAGGCCAAAAAATTACTCCGACGGAAGGACCCCACATGATAATCTGTTTAGCTTTCCCTTATCCCTTTCCTCCCGGCCATGGCAAACACCTTCGTATCGCCCTCTCCTCTGCCATCTTTTCCTCTTCTTCTATTTCCCCCCCCCTCCTTCTCCTCCTCCTCCTCCTCCTTCTCCACCTCCTCCTCATCATCGCCCTCCCCATACCCCTTCCGTCCTCATCCTCCTCCTGCCTCTTTTCCACGTGCACGTCCCTTTCCCCCCGGTCGGGGGAAGCAAGTCGATTTTCCTCGGCGCCGTCGCCGCCTCGGTCAGAACGCGCGCGTTTGCCGACGGCCAGATCGCGAAGCCGTCGGGTCAACCCTTCGGGCCAGCCATGCCTGCGGGGCACTCCCGCGGGCCGCCGGAGCGCGAGGGCAGGCCGTCGGGACAACCCCGCGGGCCAGGCCGTTGGGACAACCCCGCGGGCCTCCTCGCGCGCGCCGCGGCGCTCAGGCGGGCGGCAGCACGAAGCCCAGCTCTGCCGCCAGCTGCTCCGCTTCAGCCCTGGAGTCCACCGCTCTCTCGTCGAACTCCTGGAGCGCCTTCCGCAGTGACACCTTTGCAAGTTCCCTCTCCCGCAGCTAGAGACGTCGAACCTTTTCAAGTTCCCTCTCCAGCCCAATCCTGCCACGAACGGGAAAGTGAACCTTTTCAAGTTCCCTCTCCCGCAGCTAGAGAGTGAACCTTTTCAAGTTCCCTCCCCAGCCCAAACGAACGCGGGAGAGTGAACCTTTTCAAGTTCCCTCTCCCGCCGACGACGACAAGGTTGGCCAGCAATTGGACGTGGGCAAGTCGAAAGAGAATATTCAGGCCGCAGGAGCGAGTTCCCCTTCGATCCTCCAAGTGACGACAAGAGACGGTCCTCAGACGGGACTACCCGCACCGCCCACAGACAAAGTTCCCGCTTGATACTTCCCCCTTGTTCAGGCCGCAGGAACTGAGGAGCCCAAAAAGCTCGCTCGGATGACCCGCTCGGGTTCGAACATGAAGTGCGTGCCCCACAGGGATGGAGCGCCCGCCTGATACTTCTCCCATATTCAGGCCTCAGGAGCCCAAAAGCGACGACAGTTACAGGATTCCGATGGCCCGCCTCGGATTAGTAACATGATCTGGGGGCCCCATAGGGAGGAGACCCCCGCCTGAGACTTCCTCGCAATTCACTCACAGACGAGGCTCCCGCCTGATACTTCCTCCAAATTCACGCCCCAGGAGCCCAAAAGTGACGACAGTTACAGGATCCCGATGACCCGCCTCGGATTGGTAAGATGATCTGCGGGCCCCATAGAGAGAGGCTCCCGCCTGAGACTTCCTCGCAATTCACTCACAGACAACGCTCCCGCCTGATACGTCCTCCAAATTCACGCTCCAGGAGCCCAAAAGTGACGACAGCTACAGGATCCCAATGACCCGCCTCGGATTAGTAAGATGATCTGCGGGCCCCATAGGGAGAGGCTCCCGCCTGAGACTTCCTCGCAATTCACTCACAGACGACGCTCCCGCCTGATACTTCCTCCAAATTCACGCCCCGGGAGCCCAAAAGTGACGACAGCTACAGGATCCCGATGACCCGCCTCGGATTAGCAAGATGATCTGCGGGCCCCATAGGGAGAAGCTCCCGCCTGAGACTTCCTCGCAATTCACTCACAGACGAGGCTCCCGCTAGATACTTCCTCCAGATTCACGCCCCAGGAGCCCAAAAGTGACGACAGTTACAGGATCCCGATGACCCGCCTCGGATTAGTAAGATGATCTGCGGGCCCCATAGGGAGAGGCTCCCGCCTGAGACTTCCTCGCAATTCACTCACAGACGACGCTCCCGCCTGATACTTCCTCCAAATTCACGCCCCAGGAGCCCAAAAGTGACGACAGTTACAGGATCCCGATGGCCCGCCTCGGATTAGTAAGATGATCTGCGGGCCCCATAGGGAGAGGCTCCCGCCTGAGACTTCCTCGCAATTCACTCACAGACGACGCTCCCGCTTGATACTCGAGTGAGTGACGGACTGACTGAGTGATGTGTGACGCCAACGGATGATATCCTCATGTGATGATCATGATGAGTGAGTGAGTGAGTGAGTGAGTGAGCGATCGAGTGGTGGATGGGTAAGTGTGATGGTGCTGAGGAGGAGAGGCGTGGGTCATGATGATGATGACTGATGATGATGATGATGGCGAGAAAGAGGAAGAGAGAGAGAGAGGGTGTGAGATCCTGCGCGGGGGGTGTGCAGAGAAAACAAGAACCCCACTTTGGATGTGGGGAACTACATGCCGATCACCACCGAGATCCTGGATCAAATGATCACCGCGATCTCCGTCGCGATCCAGGCCAAAATCTCCACGGCACCCCCCGCCACGATCCAGCCCCACATCTCTACGGCGACTTTGCCCCCACGATCCAGGCGAAGACCTCCCAAGTGCCCCCCGCTGCGACCCATGCGAGAAACCGTCACGACAACTCAGCCAAACTGCCAAATCAAAATCTGCCCGGCGATCTCCGTCGCGATCCAAGCCGGAATTTCCACTGCCATCTCCGCGGCGATCTCCGCTGCGATTTCCGCTGCCATCCGATACTTCACCGCGATCTTCGCTGTGAAGTATCCCCACGACTTCACGGCGATCTCCACTGCGATCCAGGCCAAATTCTCCACCGCGATCCCCGCGCCGGTCTTTACCCAAATCTCCTCGTCGATCTCTGCCGTGATCCATGCCAAAATCTCCACGTCGATCTCCACCGAGATCCCAGATCAAACGATCATCACCGCGATTTCCGTTGCGATCCAGGCCAAAATCTCCACCCGGCCCTCCGCTGCTCTGGAGGAGGAGGGGGAGGAGGAGGAGAAGGAACAGAAGGAGGAGGAGGAGGCGGAGGCGGAGGAGGAGGAGGAAGAGGAGGAGGAGGAGGAGGACCGTACATGGACATTATATTCGAACCCTGTGGCCCAAGATGCCCCCCCGACCCCCCGAAATTAATATTGATGGCGTGGCGACGGGGGGGCGTGAGTGGACAGAAATATTCGAACCCCAAAGCACCGCCTTTACTGAGATCAACATTGATGTCGGGGGCGCGGGGATGATTTAGAATCTTCCTCGAATGTGAGAGGGTTCGAATATATTGTCCATCTACTGTCGCGCCTCCGACGTGCTGCCAGGTCGTCCGAATGGTCGTCAATCTTGGCGCGTTGCCGCTTGTTTTAATCGATGGCAAGCGTGTGCGCGCCTTTTTTTCCGTGACACCGCGATCAGCAGTTTGCCGATAGTGAATAGAGGAGTCGAGGGTGAGCAGGAGGGATGGTGGCAGAAGAAGCCGGAGCAGTCGGTCGGTGGAGTAGGCAGGGGACGGCCAGCCAGCGGGGGCGCTGTGTTGCGTGCCAGATTTTGTTGCCAGCGCTTCACGCGCGAGTCAGGTGTAGCGTGCTGCCGCTTGTTTGAATCGATGTCAAGCGTGTGCGCGCCTCGACTCCGTGGAACCGCGTTCGGCCGTCTCCGTTGCAGACGGTGGACGGAGCAGGTCAGGGTGAGCAGGAGGGATGCTTCGGAAAGGAATCATACATGTAAGAATTCAGACACCGAAATTCAAGACTGAATGGTCCTCTGGTACTCTCTTTTTCTTTTTTTTGTTTGTTTTCTCTCTCTCTCTGTCTCTCTCTGCCTCTTTCTCTCTCTCTCTCCCTCTCTCTCTCTCTTCTCCTCCTCCCCCTGGCGCCCTGAACTTGTTTATCGCTGGGGTTGACTACCCTGGGAAAACTAAGCACATCAGCTCCCCTACACGAGCAGATGAAAATTTTAATTTTCATTGAGTGTTTACACATTAAAATTAATAAGTTTTGAACTTTGGATGTTTGCTTCTTCCTTTTCCTCTGCTTCTCCTGCTTTTCCTCCTTCTCATCCTTCCTTTATTTCTTTTATTATTTCTTTAGTTGTCTCTCTCTTTCTACTTCTTTTTCTTCTTGTCCCCCTGGCCCCCTAAACTTGTTTACCGCCGCGGTTGATTATCCTGGGGAAACTAAGCACGTGCACGAGCAGATGAACATTTTAATTTTCATTAAGCGTGTACATATTAAATGTGATAAGTTTTTAATTTTGAATTTTGCTTCCTCCTTTCTCTTCTCCTCTTGCTCTTTCTCCTCCTTCTCGTTTCTTCCTCCTCTTCCTCCTCTAACTACTTCCTCTTCCACTTCTTCTCTTGTTATTTCTTTTCCTTCTCGTCTCCCTGCCCCGCTGAACTTGGTTATCACTGGGGTTGATTATCCGGGGAAAACTAAGCACATGAGCTCCTTTACACGAGCAGATGAACACTTTAATGTTCATTGAGCGTTTACAAATTAGATTTAAAAAGTTTTGAACTTTGGATGTTTGCTTCTTCCTCTTCCTCCGCTTCTCCTGCTTTTCCTCCTTCTCATCCTTGTCCTCTTTCTTTTCTTCTTTCTTTATTATATGTTTCTTTCTATGTTTTTTTCTTCTTGTCCCCCTGGCCCCCTGAACTTGTTTATCGCTGCGGTTGATTATCCTGGCACGAACAAATAATTTTAAACGTTGCCACCGCTGGTTTTTCTAACCTAGGCCTACCCATAGGGCCTCTCACTAGGTCTAGACCTACCCTAGAGCCTACCCCGAGGGCCTACCCCTAGGGCTTACCCTTAGGATTACCCCTAGGGCCTACCCCTAGGCCTACCCTAGGCCTACATGCCTAGGCCCATTTCTAGGCTTACCCTGGGCCTACCCCTAGAGCCTACACCGAGGCCTACCCCAGGCGTGCCCCTGGGGCCTACCCCTAGGCCTACCTTAGGCTTACCCCTAGGGCCTACTTCTAAGCCTACCTTGTAGGGCCTAACCCTAGGCCTACACGCCTAGGCCCTACACCTAGGCCTACACC